GATCATTTTCTTTCAGAAATCACAGGCTACTACCATTTGAATCAAAGGAGCTGAAAGAAATTAGCCACTAGAGGGGGAGATCGCCACAAACATTTACTTAGTTCTGTTAGCATCCAGATGGCGGCAGTGGTGCATAGAAGGCACATTTTGAATGCAAGAGTGGAGAATTTTAACGACAAAAAGTCACTTGGGACAGATTTAACAAAGTTTCAAACCTAGTACTAGCTTAATAACATCAATTACAAAAGTGAAAAGAAGGGTTCACACTTCACAATGAGAGTTGGTTTGGGGATTGGGGTGTGTGGATCTTTTCAGTCTGTAGGCTGAAAAGATAGATTTAGAGAAGGATGCACATAATTTGTTATCACACAGTGATAAGTTGAACTAACTTCTCAAGCTGAAAGGCATTGTGTCAGATGACATGAAAGTTCTTTCTGTGGTGTTTGATGTGGATTGTCTCATTTCAGGCAAGCAAGAAATTACTTGACATTGCAGCTGTGAATATAATACACAAACTCAGCTCAGAATGAAGCAGCATAAGTGGATGCCAATCATTTAAAATTAATATACAGAATTATAGAAAAGCCAACATCTTCTAAGTAAGGATTGTCATATTTAATCGACAGAGGTATTTGCACACTGTGGATTGTGGAGTTCCCCTTTGACCTCTAGGCATTTTCACTTTATCACTACTTTTCAAATAGACATATAATTTTAACATAGTTGTGGTATGTGTGTCTGTCTGTCAGTCAGTCAGTCAGTCAGTTTGTCTATCACCCAATTGCAAATCTGCTGCCTTTTCTCTTGATTGCTACTGTCAATTGCACACAATTCCCAATGTCATAAAAAGTTGTGATACTGTTAGATTAAAAAATGCTTAAATTCAGGAAATCTTAACTATAGACTAGGCATGCCCATAAAATCCCATCTCTTGGTTATACCAGTCAAACGATCCTCAAACCTTAACCCATTAATTGCCATTGTTTGATTTATTTCCCCTAAAAGCAAAGGATTTTTTTTTCTATCCTTGACTAGCTGTCAGGCTTCTGATTGGCTCATTGAGGCAGGGATTTGGACTTGGGCAGTGACACTGGAGGGGACGAATTTTAACACCCCTCCCACCCACATATTTTGCCCCAGAAATAAATTTCTGTCCCAAGCTGCTGTTTCCCCTGGGAAGAACACACAAGGTGGAGGTAGGGATGCACACATCAGGCAGGGGATCAGAAGCATGACCCCAGTCTAAACTGCCTTTTCTGGCAACTGTTATTAGCACTTCTAATTGATTTTATTTTTAAGTAGAAATCTGATTGTGGAACTCCCAATGTCATGTCCAATTTGGTCCCAAGAAACAGAACATATTCACATATTGTATTTGTTCTGCTTTTATTTCGTTGGTTAAACAACAACTATTGAGGAGAGTACCCATTGATTATTGGTGTTTTGGGGTGCATGTATATACTTTTTCTGTTGTTGAGGTTGCAAAATAATAGCCTTTTCTTTCATGAGATCATTCTGTCATTTTATTTCCATGCAAAAACCAAAAGGGAACAAAAGAAACAAAATTCAATAGCAAATACGACGTCAGCTTTTCATTCTTTTTCGTTTCTGCATGGCTATGAGGAATGATTGCCTCTGCCCCTCAAGTATCTAAATTCCATAGAATCAACAAGCAAATATGAAAAGCCTAAGGAATATGCTTACGCTAATTTAAGACCTTGGGAATTAGGACATTTTTAGCACTAAGTGTTTAGTGAATTTAGCAAATCTCTAGCCAATTGCCTTCAACGCTTCCAATCCTTCTCCCTCCAAAGACTGCATTTTTATTTATCTATTTTCAAAGACCAAAATAGGTTGCTGAAAAAGGCCCCCTGACTTTCATACAGCATAAGAACACAAGACAAGGTATCTGGATCAGGCCAATGGCTCATCTAGTCCAGAATCCTATTCTGACAGTGGTTGATCAGATGCCTGTGATTCTCTGCAACTGGTTTTGAGAGGCATACTGCTTTTGACAGTGGAGGTAGATAGAATCACAGAACTGTAGAGTTGGAAGGGACGCTAAGGATCATCTAGTCCAACCCCCTGCAATGCAGGAATATGCAATTGTCCCATATGGGGATCGAACCTGCAACCTTGGTGTCATCAAGGCTATGTCAGAGCACACCATTTTACAGGCGCTCGCTCCAGTGTAATAATGTTTCCTGGACTCTTTAATACATGCATCCAAAATTTAATGACCTACTTAAGCAGGGGGGAATAAAGAAACTGAAAATAAAGGAAACTTTTGAGGTTTTCATCTTTTACACACCCACTTGGAAACATGTTGCATTTTCTGAACATTGTGTAGGCTACTGCAAATGGTTGGCGTTACACATACATAATGTACTTCAACATTGTTTTAGTTATTTTTATCAAAATAATTGTTGGCAATTTTTTTGAGAAGCAGCATATTTAATCTGGATGGACAAAATTAGCACGAAATCTCTCACTCTTTAATGTCACTAGTAGAACATAGCTATTTTTTAAAAGGGGAAAGAAAACGAAATGTAGTGAAACAACTTTCTCGGATGCCTGCCATTTTTAGAGCAACCTCAGGTTTGTTTGCCTTTAATAGAAATAAGAACAGCAATAATAGTAATAATAATAATAATAATAATAATAATAATACAGGTGATAGCTATAAGTGCAGTTTGTTGCAGCGTAGATCGGTTTGTGCTATCAAATGATGGACATAGAAAAACTGGACTGTAATTTATAGAGGCTAGAGGATGCTATTTGCAAATTTTCGTAGTGTCAGAAAAGGTTGCTCATTTGGGGGGGGGTGAAGAAAAAAAGAGAGAGAGAGAGAGAGAGAGAGAGGAGCACTTCCTCTTTCTCTCTCTTTTTGGATGGTACCCACAATGGCCTAAACATTCCCTTCATAGAAACATAAGCTTCTTTGTACTCCCACCAACCAGGCAATGTATGTAATGTGTCCTAAAGCAGAGAGTTTGAAGGAATTTGTCAAAACATAGGAGCTACACCATGTTACACTATTTGTAAGGAATGCAATGTGGAAAGGGCCATAGCTCAGAGGCAGAACACATGCTTTGTCCACAAAAGATCCCAAATAGAATCCCAAGCATCTTCAAGAAGGGTTGAGAAAGACACCATCTGAGACCCTAGAAAGCAGCTGCTAGATGGACCAATGAGTGCATTATAGGAATAGATTTGTGAGCACACCATCTACCATCGACCTCAGCCTGACCCAGCCACTGCATATCAAAAACACATGCCTCTCTTTTCTTCAGTAACAAGTGTTGCCTGAATCAATTCCCCTTGCATATGACCCTTCTAATGTTATTTGGTCCTTAGCAGCCAAACTGTGTGTTGGGCACCAGCCTTTGTGTCTTATGGTGATGCAGATGACTCTGGATTGCTGTACAGCACATAATAATATGTGAACTATAACAGTAGTTATCTTATATTGCCCTCTGTTGTATTCCCAAGCTCTTTGCATTCATGTCACTCTTTAGAAAAGATAAAACATGAAGTCCGGATCTTCTAAAAGTTAACTTTTGTGCCCTAAAGCAGAGTATTTGTACCATTACTCATCTATTAAGAAATATAGCAACTGTGCAAAGGTGTGTTTGCCTCAATATTAGCTTACAGATGGATTTCGACATCCGGATTTGGGGATCAATATTTGAATAGGGATGTAAAAATTCAGAAATAAAAACTTATGGTTTAGAAGACAAAGCCTCTATCTACTTATGCAAATATTCATTTCAACTGTAGTAATTGGGATATGCAAATAGGCAATCAAATTGAGACAGACTTATCTGAGTTTAGGGATGGGTGAAACTGCAAAATATTATATACTATTTCTCCAACAGCTGTTTTCCTGCATCATTTTATGCAGTGCTTTTTTCTGGGGGGACGCATACCCCTAAACATAGGTTTGGCCTCATTGAGGGGCAGTATTTCAATACAAGTAGGAAAATGAGAGTACCCCTAAACATTTTTATTAGAAAAAAGCACTGATATTATGACATATTGATAACATTTAAAGGACTTCTTTTTAAAATAAAAGTTACACAAACAATGCTTTCTCTATTTAAAAAACAAAACAAAAATCACCAAATTGCTTGGTTTTCCAAATCCAATGAAAAAGCTATATCGAGCAAAACATGCATTTGATTTTAAAATGGCTGCCTTACAGATTTCTAGAATACTTTTACAACATTCATAAATGAATCATTCCACACTAAGAAGGTGGTTTTTCTTTTTGGATCAGCTAAACCCACTGTGCGAAATTTCCTAAGCCTTCAAGGTCCCCCACATTGTCACATATTTGCAGTAACCATTGATTGGTAATTAAAAAGCTATCAGAAGCCTGTCTAATAATCTATTAAAGATGTTGCATGTTCCCCAAACTATCTCTGTTGGTACATCAAATGTTCCTTTTAAGGCACGTGCTAACAGCTCCAGAAGAGGAATACAGTGGTACCTCGGGTTACAGACACTTCAGATTACAGACGCTTCAGGTTACAGACTCCACTAACCCAGAAATACTACCTCGGGTTAAGAACTTTGCTTCAGGATGAGAACAGAAATTGCACAATGATGGCATGGGGGCAGCGGGAGGCCCCATTGGCTAAAGTGGTACCTCAGGTTAAGAACAGTTTCAGGTTAAGAACGGACCTCCAGAACGAATTAAGTTCTTAACCTGAGGTACCACTGTATAGAAGTATATAAGAATTTGTTCAAACTTGTAATAGTGGAAAGATGTTTACTATTGCCACTCTTGGAGCTCCAGCTCATGTCACCATCACAGTGTAGGAGCTGCTGCAGCATGGCTCCATCTCACACTGCAACATAAATGTCAGCAGGAACACGTGAACACAGGAAGCCGTCTTCTCCTAAATCAGACGACTGGTCCATCTACCTCAGTATTGTCTACTGTAACTCACAGTGGTTCTCTAGGTTTTCAGGCAGGAAACAAACTCAGCCCCACCTGGAGATTCCGGGGATTGAACCTGGGACTTTTTGTATGCAAGGCAAATTCTCTACCTCTGAGCTACAACCCTTCCCCAGTAGCTTTGAGGGCCATTCCCTGCCTCCTCCCCCATCAGTGTCATGCCTCCCAGAAGCTAGAGCAGCCATGTTTTGGGACAGAGCCACATTGTGATGAACACACTCTATGAGGTTTTGAACCTCGTTGAAGGAGCCCTGGCAGATCCTTCACCAGAGCATGCCATGTCTGGTGTGGGTTATCCTTCTTGAAGCCTTCCAAGCATGCTATGCCTAGCATAGTTACACCACACTATGCTGAGGACCAGCAGGGAGGAAGAAGAGGTTCCACCATAGTAGTATGGAACCCAACAACAAGTAGTCCTGTTTCAGGAAGTTTTTTTACGTTTGATGACTTCTTATGTTTTCACATTTCCTGGAAGCCGCCAAGAGTGGCTTGGGAAACCCAGCCAGATGGACAGGGTAAAAATAATAAAATTTTAATTAAAAGCTGAAGGAGTACAGGATCCCCACCCTTACTGGGAATGCCTAAGTGGCTGCACTCCCCGTAGGAAGAACTCTCCGCATGCATCTGTAGGTGTGCAGGTAGGGAAAGCTGTAACCCAACACCCACTTACTTGGGAGTAAGCCCTCTTCTCAGCTGCCTTGCTGAGAATAAATGTATAGGCTCGCACTGTAAACCTTCTCAAACCAATTATCATAAAAAGAATAATGAGGGAAGCTTGTAGACTTCGACCTTTATGAATGCTGGTAAGAGCCGATGTGATCCATACCTCCAGGACTAATATGTAGATTGGAGCATAATTATACACCAGCTTTCACGCTTCTCAAATGTTTGAGCCATTGTAACACTGGGTTTTGGGGGTGAAAAGTAATTGAGAAATGCATAGAGGTGAGAAAACATAAAGCAAAAAAAAATCTGATAATTGACATTGTGTGCAGGGTTGGCCAAGACGTTTGGGTGCCTGAAGGACAAGTTGTCTCTCCCCAACCCACATTCTAAGTACAGTGGTACCTCGGGTTACAGACGCTTCAGGTTACAGACGCTTCAGGTTACAGACTCCGCTAACCCAGAAATAGTACCTCAGGTTAAGAACTTTGCTTCAGGATGAGAACAGAAATCGCGCAGTGGCAGCAGGAGGCCCCATTAGCTAAAGTGATACCTCAGGTTAAGAACAGTTTCAGGTTAAGAACGGACCTCCAGAACGAATTAAGTTCTTAACCAGAGGTACCACTGTATAAATCTAACAAGATAGGCAATTGAATTACTTCAACAGCAATGATGAGACACCAACGTGTCATACCTAAGAGCAGGCAGCTGGCTTAAAAGACCCCAGAGGAATGACTGGGTCACCCCAATGCTGGGGTGGGGGGTCACTTCCACCCCCAGCATTGGTCACCTGAATCAGCTGCCTCACTCTGCCAAATCCTGATCTTGTGGATTTCCCCTGGAGGAATGACTCATTGTGCTTGCTGCCATAGCTTAATAGCAGTGACTGCCAGGTATCACTCAGTTTCCTAAGAATATGCTTGGGTCAATGATGCTATTATATGATGCAGTGATTAATGATGCTTATTCCCCACAACCACCTTTCCCCTCTCTGATTCTTCTTGTACTCACAGAAGTGGGTTTTCTTCCTTTCCATTTCCCCCATTTATACACAAATTATTCACTTGGTAATTATTATTTTTTATCAAACCTTTTATTGGCATCACATACAAATATCCATAGCAAATCAACACAGAATTCCCGCCTTCCCAGTGACACAAAACGTTTGTCAAATGAAAGAGGCAAAGCAAAGCTTTTTGATCAAGTAAAGTAATCTAGGTTCTAGGCCCATTGTCTCCAATTTGGACCATAACAGCCCCCTGTCAACAGTGTCAAAAGCAGGAGGCCACATAAAGACATTCTTTATGAAGTCGTGTGTACTTAGTGGCTAAATGAGATAACACCAAACAGTTGCATAAAGTAGATTTCCCTGGCCTGAACCCTTCCTGCTCTGGACCTATGATTTTATTCTCATCAAGCCAAGTAGTTAGTTTATTTAACAGATGTTTAGCATACAATTTCCCGATGTTTGACAGTAGACTTATTGGCCGATAATGGGATGGCCGCTTTTTGTCACCCTTTTTAAAGATTGGGATAATTATAGAATGCTACCATGAGTTATTCACTATGATAGATAGTTACCAGAGCTATCTATCATAGTGAATAGTTCCACTAGTATCGGAGCTCACCACTCTGGCTTGGCTTTGATCAATTCAGATGGTCAATTAAAGTTATAACTTTGGTGATGGAGACAGGGGGCCACTGATCCTCGAAAGTAAAAGTGGTATGGTCTTGACTATCAGGTGGAATACAGTCATCAAAGAAAACTGCCTTAAAATGCTCTACCCATGACAAAGATGGAATCAATGTCAGTGAATCATCCTGTGTCTGTGGGGAGTCTGCTACAGCCTTCCCAAATTTCTTATGATCTTTCGTTAGGATGGCTGAGAGTAGTGTATCCCAACATGCCTGATTATATCTTATCTGGCTGAGCGGGATAGTTTCCCTAAGTTGTCAAGATCTGGAGAAGTAAACGTCAGGCAATCGAGAGCTGCCCGTCTCTCTGAACTCTCTATAGATTCTCCTAACCTCGGTTTTAATTGCTACGGTTTCTTTGTTAGTCCAATCGCCAATCCCCCTCTTCTTAGGTGGCCTGTGCGAGTGTAAATGGGACAGTTCAGTTGTTAAAGTGTCAATAAGTTCTTCAAACTGAGAGACTCCAACAACAGGGAAAAGTTCACCTTTCTCTACACTTAGTAATTGAGGTAAGATGATGATGATGATGATGATGATGATGATGATGATGATTTGCATCATTTTATAATGATAGGTGGCCAAGCAGGATCTCCATGTGACTGTTAGAAGTCACTCTGCTTTTATAAGGCTTTCAAAGTAACAATGGAAGAAATTTCATTTATGGAGTGAGAAAGATTCCTGGACCCTTAACTTTATAGAAGTGAGCTAACTATGCTTAAACCCATCAAAATAATTGGGCTTAGTATTCAGATAACTGCATGTAAAAAAGAAAAGATGCATTTTAAGTTGCCTAATGCAAACTGTCCCCCTTCATGGATCACTGCCTTGCCGTGGCAAAGGGGCTTGAATAACTCAGAGAAGCTATGAGCTATGCCGTGCAGGGCCTCCCAAGATGGACAGGTCATAGTGGAGAGTTTTGACCAAACTTGATCCACCTGGAGCAGGAACCGGCAAACCACTCCAGTATCCCTGCCAAGAAAACTCCATGGACAAAGACAACAGGCATATAAAAGTTATGACGCTGGAAGATGAGCCCCTCAGGTCGGAAGGTGTCCAACATGCTGCTGGGGAAGAGCGGAGGACAAGTACAAGTAGATCCAGAGCTGATAAAGCGGCTGGGCCAAAGCTGAAAGGACGCTCAGTTGCGGATATGCCTGGAAGCGAAAGGAAAATCCAATGCTGTAAAGCAAAATATTGCATAGGAACCTGGAACGTAAGAACCACGAACCTGGGTAAGTTGGATGTGGTCAAAAATGAGATGGCAAGAATAAATATTGACATCCTGGGCATCAGTGAACTAAAATGGACGGGAATGGGCGAATTCAGTTCGGATGACCATCACATCTACTACTGTGGGCAAGAATCCCGTAAAAGAAATGGAGTGGCCCTCATAGTCAACAAAAGAGTGGCAAAAGCTGTACTGGGATGCAATCTCAAATATGATAGAATGATCTCGATATGAATCCAAGGCAGACCTTTCAACATCACAGTAATCCAAGTTTATGCACCAACTATTGGTGCTGAAGAAACTGAAATTGACCAGTTCTATGAAGACTTACAACACCTTATAGAAATGACACCAAAGAAGGATGTTCTTCTCATTATAGGGGATTGGAATGCTAAAGTAGGGAGTCAAGAGATAAAAGGAACAACTGGCAAGTTTGGCCTTGGAGTTCAAAACGAAGCAGGGCAAAGGCTAATAGAGTTCTGCCAAGAGAACAAGCTGGTCATCACAAACACTCTTTTCCAACAACACAAGAGACGACTCTACACATGGACATCACCAGATGGGCAGCATCAAAATCAGATTGATTATATTCTCTGCAGCCAAAGATGGAGAAGCTCCATACAGTCAGGAAAAACAAGACCTGGAGCTGACTGTGGCTCAGATCATCAGCTTCTTATAGCAAAATTCAAGCTTAAACTGAAGAAAGTAGGAAAAACCACTGGGCCGGTAAGATACAATCTAAGTCAAATCCCTTATGAATACACAGTGGAAGTGAGGAACAGGCTTAAGGATTTAGATTTGGTGGACAGAGTGCCTGAAGAACTATGGATGGAGGCTCGTAATACTTTACAGGAAGCAGCAACTAAAACCATCCCAATGAAAAGGAAATGCAAGAAAGCAAAGTGGCTGTCCAACGAGGCCTTACAAATAGCGGGGGAGATAAGGCAAGCAAAATGCGAGGGAGATAGTGAAATTGAATGCAGATTTCCAAAAAATAGCAAGGAGAGACAAGAAGGCCTTCTTAAACGAGCAAAGCAAAGAAATAGAGGAAAACAATAAAATGGGGAAAACCAGAGATCTGTTCAAGAAAATTGGAGATATGAAAGGAACATTTCGTACAAAGATTTCCATAATAAAAGACAAAAGTGGAAAGGACCTAACAAAAGCTGAAGACATCAAGAAGAGATGGCAAGAATACACAGAGTATACCCCAGGTAGTCTGGTTGCTGACCTTGAGTCAGACATCCTGGAGAGTGAAGTCAAATGGGCCTTAGAAAGCATTGCTAATAACAAGGCCAGTGGAAGTGATGATATTCCAGCTGAACTATTTAAAATTTTAAAAGATGATGCTGTTAAGGTGCTACACTCAATATGCCAGCAAATTTGGAAAACTCAGCAGTGGCCAGAGGATTGGAGAAGATCAGCCTACATCCCAATCCCAAAGAAGGGCAGTGCCAAAGAATGCTCCAACTATCGCACAATTGCACTCATTTCACATGCTAGCAAGGTTAAGCTTAAAATTCTAC